CGATATATTTTATATCAACAAGAAAAGGAATAATGTACATCAGATACAAGGAGACTGCCATTAGCAGAATACAAGAGACACCACAGCCGGTGCCTTGATACAAACCTCAAAATGAACATTTCAACTAGCAAGTCTTGGCATATACTGAGGTTATGAAGTCCAAAACAGCTAATTGTAATGAGCTTGCTAATTCTAATAGAATCGGGTACCAAAAGGGTGAATCTACCACCGCTAAAACTGAAAAAACAACACAAAAAGACTGCAGAAGGAGAACCTAACTCAAGAGCCTCTGAATTCCATCCATGCTGATGCTGCTGCTTGAACTATGGTGATTTTAGGTAGCCAGTGATTTATTGGACTTCTATGATGTATATGGCCTCCCAATAAACCAGTTTCTCTACGAGTCATGTTTCTGAAAAATTCACTCTTCTTGCCGGTCTTCTCATAGATTGGCGAAATTGTGTGTACTCTTTATTTTTCCGCTCTTTCATTATAAAGTAGAATAATTACCATTGGACGCTTACATAAAACAAATTTTGAAACACTTTTAGTTCTGTAATTAAGAGTCGCTAGCGATAGCTCGTCAACATAGTACACTATTAATTTTCCCAATATGTAAATAAAAATGCACTTCTATTTTTAGCTACAATTTTTTTTTTTTTTTTAATTGGTAAAAAAAATACTTTTGATCGAACTTGAGTCGAGCTCGAGCCCATATTTTTCATTGTCGAGCGGCTGGAGATATATGATAAATTACTAAACTACCTCTTATGTATATATTGCAATAGTATAACATAAGTGCTTAATGATAATTTTACTTTTCCATTTTAAAATTTTTTAGCCGGCCTTGAGTTGAGCTCGAGCCATTGTAATTTTTTATCGAGTCGAGCTCAAGCCTCATAATCGAGCTCGACGAGCTCGATCTAGCTCGAGCAGCTAAAAAAAATCAGTATATCCTACTCGATATGGCTAATGCTCGACTAGGCTCAACTCGTTTACAGTCTTAGTCCTTACACTCATTGGGACTAATTGGCCCAATAAAAATAATAATAATAATGATTTTAGAGTTGCTATATCGGGGTCAGGTTTAATTCTTTTTTGGGGGGTTATTTCGGTTGTCGCTTTCGCTGAGGAGGTTAGGATTTTGTGGTTGATAGTGAGGAGGGCTTTATTGTATATGTGTGAGTTATTTTTTTTTTAGTGTTTCTCTTTTGTTGGTTGTCTTCCAACCGCGTGCAGCGCTAGTCTCTGCTATGAAGTTGTAGTCTTTGCTTTGGAGTAGTTGATCTTCATTTTGGAGTTTTTGTGTTTTGTGAGTGATTTGTATCCCCTTGGTTGTCTGTGTAATTTGAAGGGGGTGGATCCAACTTTTGTGCTGGTTTTTATGGTGTCAGTTGGCAACTCGAGTGTACTCGTTTTGAGTTTTTTATTTTGAATCTATTTATAGTTTGGAGAAAAAAATAATAAATAAAAAAAAGTCTAGCACAAGTTTTATGTTTTTTTTTTCTTTCCATATTTTGGCCCATTCCTCGAAAGAAATAAAACGGGAAAATTGTATTTGTACACAACCTTTTTACAATTATTGCAACATTACGAAGAATTATTTTTTTTTTTCAAACTTATCAAATGCAACACATTTTATTTGTGATAATGCGAAGATACGGTTACCCACAAAAAGAGATCACATCTCCTTAAATAGAGGGATTACTATTTTGCCATTTTCACTGAAAAAATAAAAATAAAAAAAAAAGTCAAAATATATGGTAAATGTATATATCCTAATATCTATGATATTCAATTCAAAATTAAACGATATAAATTTTGAAGCTACACGATCAGGTATGCTATGTATAGGTTCTATATACAATATATAAACATCACATACTGCCTTAAAAAAAACTACAGAATTGCAGCCGATATGCTTTAAGTATACCATTCACGCACACATACATAATATAGTCGTGTTATATACTTAATATATACGTATATAATTTTTTTAGAGTGCGTGTTATATACATCACGTATATGTTGCTTTTTTTTTTAACATAACTTTTACCGACTCAAATGTCATATTTAGCATGTAGATCTAAACCAACAATCAGTCATTATATTTTCAGTATATATGTGTCGTTTTTTTTTTATTTACATAACTTTGCAGATCTAGAACAACAATTAATCAATATATTTTAAGTATATATTTCGTTTTTTATTTACATAACTTTTACCAACTGTTGAAAAAAAAAGTATACCCGTAAAAAAAATTTGTATATGGAACATCAAATAAACATCGAAACAAAATAATATCAGATGTATCCATAAAATTTTCTTATATACAAAACATAAAATATCTATATAGCGAACATATACATAATATAAACAATATATATACGAAAATTGTATAATATATATAACTGCAACTACGCAAACAACAAAAAAGAAAAATATATATATACTACATATATACAACATATATATTGTCTGGTCTAGTCTTTCGCTCAACTAAAACCTAACCACAAAATCCACTCGATGGCTTGCGATCAAAAGCGACAATTGACCCGAATCTTGCACCTTCTTCACCGATGATACAGTCATTGGCGAATCGGAACAAGGATCGTCGGCCCCCTCCAACATCACCTTCACCGACGCTCGCGTCAAGTCGCCGGCCCTTGAAAATCTTTGTCAGACTTGCTCCGCCGGCCTCACCGTCTCAGCATCTCCTTATCCAATGTACCACTTCTGTCTTGGAGTCCGCCTTCCCGAAAGACAGTCAATTGTAATAAGCGTTTAGCAGGATTAGTACCTGACAGAAATAACTAAAATTCATAATGAAGTTGCAATATTTGGTATTACCCATTGTTAATCATAATTAATCATCTCAGAGACATTTCATGGAGAAATATGGATTTGCCAGGGGAGAATTCAAATGGATCAGGAAAAAAAAAAAAAGGAGAAAAAGAGATAGGGAGAGAGAGCGAGAAAGTGGCGTGAAATAAGATTTGGAATGCGAGAAGTCTACATTTAATTACTCTGAATAAGATTTGGAAGGCGAGAAGCCTACATTTAATTACTCTGAATATTAATTGTATATTAAATTAATAATTTTTTATATAATCTGGTACTTTTGCAATTATTTAGGTCAGATTTTGTATATTTGCTAATACTTACAATTAAGTTTTATTTATTTATATAATAAAAAATAATATGTCATGTATAGGGTGCAAATTCCTCAAATAAAACAGTTCAAGTACAGTTAGGCAAAGAATGAGGAAAAAAGCCCACCAAGAACATTTAGCCCAGTCATTTCAAACAAAAGACAAATTACAGTATCCGTGGAGAATTCGAGCTGCAGCCCAACTGCCCAAAGCCATAACCCGATTTCCCATCGGGAAGAACAAATGGCGGCTCTCTCCAGTTTGGGAACCTTCTCGAAGCCCCAAATTCCTCCTCTCCCATCTCCCTCTGATTTCAGATCCTTCAATTCAATTAATACTCTATCTTTTTCATCCCGCACAAATATCGGCAACAATTCGCGCCATTTTACAGCAGTATCTGCAGCTCCTCCCATGGCGAGTGAAGAAGCTTCAGTCAAAGCGGTTAGCTCCGTCCCCGACTCTTCTATCAAGCTCCTGTTTGTTGAAATGGGCGTCGGCTATGATCAACACGGGTCTCTCTCTCTCTCTCTCTGTGTGTGTGTGTGTGTGTGTGTGTGTTTGTGTGTGTGTGTGTGTGTGTGTGT